ATGGTTAGCCGCGAGTTGACGGCCGTTCTCCTATCCGCCACATGGGGACGTGCTCGATAACATACAAGTCCGTTCTCCTTACATATGTAACCGCCTGAAAAGAAACATCTTCACGAGCACCGTTTCCTACATTCTACGGATTTAAAAAAATTACCGATCCAATTGAAATGTTTCAAATACCCATTACGGCGTAAACCACATTGTAAAGAACAGTAGAAAAATTTGTTCTATATGGGTACCGTTGGCAACTATTCGTCTATAGAGTACAGAGGATTTGAAGTGGTTACCAAATGTATTAACACGACAGATTTGGAACTAAACCGGGTTAATGAGAGTCTGCCCAAGACTCAAAACTGTTTGATGGGATTCGAAAAACCACACTCAGAAGACCACATCTGAGGATTCAGTTCGGTACGCATTATAAGTGCACTTTTAATGGCCTGAGTGATGTCAGTTATATTTCATTTTAAACCGAAAATCAGATCGCAAAGCGTAACGGAGATCATGAGCTATAAGAAAGCATGGCGTATTTTTCACTGAATACGGCAAATGACGGCGCACGGGTATGTTGATGCAGCACTTTATGATTGGGTTACCAGAAAATAGATGTGACCGAGGCACAAAATTCCAACGTCCTATACCAAAAATACGTTGCTCGGAAATTCCGGATTCAACTAATCTTTCCTGTGTATTTGAGGCACCAAGGATGGATTAGCTGAGTTTATTGTTTGTCACCTTATGGATATCCATGATCGATTGGCCATGCATAGTGAAAACCGTTGTCTGCATACCAAAAATTATTCTGTCTCACATCGTTGTAATCCTTTCCAAATTAGACCTCTTTCTGGATGTGTCACCACTTAGAGGAGGAACATCCTCTCTTGGCTTGCTTGTACTTTAGTAAACCGGACAATTGTTCTCACGGATCTCTTTCGTTGATTCCCCTGGAATGTTGCTTGTTATCTTCAGCGAACTTTATGAATACTCATTCTGAAAAATTGACCGTACAAATCCGCAACGCCTCGCAATTTTGGGACAAAAGTGCAAACTGAAATGAGATTGGTTAACAGAAAACAAAAACTTAGTGGTATCTTGTGTATAAATAACCGTTTCCTTGGGTCACTCTAATGTGCTTCCACCAGACGAGACTACCGGCATGAACAAAACAACGAAGTTGGGAATTGCTTGACTGGAACTGACGATCCTCCGGACTTCACCTTTACGCACAATACTCAGTTTATCGAGTGAACCATAGAATCGGAAGCACTAGACTCGAGTTTCGATCTTATTAGAGCTCATCAGTAGTGTATATCCATCGTCCCGTCAGGGATTTGAACTCCGAACCGATCGCATGGAAGCTGTGCGCGTTACCACTGTGCTAACCAGCTCATACCATGGCTGAACCAAATTTTTAATTCATTTTTGTTCAGGTTTCGTCTTCAGTGATAATCAGTTAGTTCATTTGGCCCGAGAGCAACGAAGGGAGACAGATGACAACCTGTTAACTCCAATCGAAAGCCTCTCATCAAGTCAGGAGTTCCATGCAGGTTACGAACCCGCAAGGCTTGATTGTTTATTCGCATTTGACTCGATGGACTGAGGATTTTGTATGAAGGTAAAGTCCGAAGGACAGTCAGTTCAAATCAATCCATAGCAATTATCTCACATCACTACTCACAAGTAACTGTGAGTTAAATGCGAAGTTGAGAATAGGGAAAATTGAGGGTGCCTATTTCATTACATAGAACAAATCACAGTAAACTCCATAGTCGAGAGATCATAAAGAGGCAGCATTCACGTAGGAGTCAGTTCCGAGATCATAAACTATATGAACGAAAGATTACAAGTGAACGGTAAGACAGTGGGATAGTGTCCGTAGTTCAGTTGAGTTTCGGTAGAAAGGGAAGATTGAAGGAGGGAGAATAATTACGACAACAGTTGACAGATCTGACAGGCACGACTACCACCTATCCATGAGATAGATGCGCAAAAGCGCCAAGAAGAGGAATAGATGAGGCGAGCTACAAAACATAAAACAGTAGAGCTATAGGAGCGAGATAACTACTTGACGGTGAGATAGTGACTGTATGTCGAAGGTGCGGGGTCGTCGCCGTCAATCAGTAAGATGGTATTCTGGTGAACCCGAATGAGAAGTGGACGAAGCCCCGGGGCATCCGTGAGCATAATAATCAAGTGCGTCACACTGTGGGTTAGAAACACGACCTACGACGTACTGCAAAACGTATTAAGTAGTTCCTAAAACGTTGGCAGTGACTAGACAGTTGGGGGAAAGCTACGCGCCTTGAATTACGCCGATGACCCCGTTTGTCTGTTCGAATGTATGGAGGACGAGCAAAGTGCAACTGGTAAATTAACATGTTCTGTCGTTTCGTTCGCTTTGTTCTCTGCACCTCCCAAGTGCTGCTGTAAGGCTGGTTGTCGTTTAGTCCAGATCTGGAACTAGATGATCGAAAAGTGACTGAAGTTGTCTGCTTCACCTACTTTAGTAGATGTGTGACTAACGACGGTAGCGCAGTTTCAAGGCTCAAGCAGCGTACGCAAGACTGAAGCGCCAGTGGCGACGACGTGACGCTTCCTCGAATTTTAAGAGTTGCACCACTGCTCGGTTAGTTTGCGACCTTGAATTTGCGATAGAAGTTCAAGCCTGTAGGTTTTTAACGATCGATCCCCACTTAGTCCGAGGTAAAATTGAGTGGGTGGGTTAGTGACTTAGATGCAAGTCGTCGTGCGTTTGGGAATGTATGAAGGGAAAATTCACTAAAAACATACTCCATCCTTGTCCACCTTGAAAATGCCCACTTATATGGCAGCGATCATTGAAATTCGTTTTATTGCACCATGCGGATGAAAACCCCACAACACTGAGCTGAAAAAAAAGAAAAAAGTCATATTTTGTCCATTCAGGCAGATTAATGACTGGCACCCGAAACACGCCCCAAGTGAATACGAAGGACATTAGACTGAACGGTTAAGAATTCAAAAAGTATATCACGGAAAGAAAAACTGTACAATCGTTTGGGAACAGAGACGAATATGGTACATGTGGTTCAATTGTCTGTGAAAAAGTCACGTGTTTCCCGATGTCACTGTACTTTCCAGTTCACTGATCGCCGAACGTACATCCTCAATAATGTCCTTTTTCAAATTTAGTTGTTCGCGATAAACACTGATCGCCTGAGTGACTTTACGATCCAGGTCTTGAAGAGCAGCTAGTGCTTGTCCCTTGATCTCTTTAAAATCTGTTTCATGAGGTATGATTGGGCCTGTGTGTAATGACCGGCTCATTAATGCACGATAAAACGAGGGCGATGGATCCACAAAAACCATTTCATCGTAAATTTCACGAACCAAGCTTTTATGTCCCATCATAATCTCATGGTCACAATGAAATAGTTTGATTAAATGCGTGATAACCAAGGGTTTCTCGTTCGGATCGGTGAAGATGACCTTCATTGTGATGTCAAACTCACCCCAACCGGTTTCTGTCAACTCAAATGGGGGCTTATTCACCATTCGAACTGGATTGGCATAACTTTCGTGAAGCTTGAATTGTACACGCTTGATGAATGAAGACATGTCTTCATTTGTATTGTAGGGTCTCAGAAAGGCTGTCCATTGATGTGTCCGTCCGTCTTCTTCACGCTTCTTTCCAAGATAACGAGAAACATTTCCATACACAATAGGTTTGACAACCGTGGTCTTCAGATGTTCTACTGCATCTTCAGGCATCTAGAAGAAAAAGAAAGAATTGTTTACCTATGAATTCTGGGACTAGGAATGATGGAAGTGAGAAAACCAAACATAAATAACAAAACATTAATGAAGAACCCAAAATATTGACGGATATGTTTTTCGTGAGATCCTTTGCAGGCCACAAAACGACTTTACGATTCCAGGGGATGTTCAGTTCGGCTGATATACGATAAACTGCTTCCAAATACATATATACATGCCTTATTTCCCCTGGTGGGTAAGCGAGATCCGATATTGTTAAGTCTCCTGGATTTACTGCCTCTAAATGTCTCAGTATGGTCGGAAGTGGGTGTCTCGGGCTCCGAAATGGCCATTCGTACCGAACTCCTCTAGAAATGATCCCAAACGACCAAGTGTCTCAAACAGCTTCTGCTGAGGAAGTCCTACCCACTGCCTTCTCTTGACGGAGGTGTTAACACTAAAGTGGGAGAGCAAAGGTGAATGCCCGGTGCTTTTCACCGGGTTGACTGACCACTGGTAGTCATTCTAAGGGAGTTAGCTAAACCCTGATTCGAAACCACCCACACCTGGCGTAAGAAGCTCATAGTGGCACCAATATTCGGCGCAACCGAACTGGCCTCCAAAGTTAATCTTTGGAGTTG